GATGGATGGATGGGTGGATGGATGGATGGATGGGTTGATGGATGGATGGATGGGTGGATGGATGGATGGATGGATGGATGGATGGATGGACGGATGGGTGGATGGATGGATGGATGGATGGATATATAGAAGGATGAACAGCCTGATTCTTATTAACTTGTAAACTTGATTCTCAAATAAAAGAATAGATGCTTCAAAGGCTGGCATGCAGAAAACATTGTTTATTTGGACTCTCTGTTCCTGGCTTTGTGCAGCTCCACGGGAGCTGGTCCCCAGCTGGGAATCCTGGGCCCTCAGAAAGCTCCAGATCCATGAGCCAAGGACAAGCTCTGCAGGGGTTTCCCCAGCACCTCGGTTTACACCATCTATTTTGGGGTGGGCCAGGTCCAAAGGGGAACCCTGATTGATGCATTAACCCCCTCCAGCCACATCAGCTTATTTCTGATTTATCCAAAAGCAACGAGGAGGAAACCCAGGCTAGAAATACCCAGTGCCAACGCTCAGCTGGTGCCTGACAAAAACCTGCCAGAAAACCCATTTTCCTGCACAATTTGCAGCTTAATATTTCCCAAATCCAGGCCCGAAGCTCAACGAACCCCATAAAAGGCTCTTATTAACTGGACTATTTTTGAGACAAGCCCTAATGAGCCAATCTGTCATGTCCTCTAGCAGGCAGGCTGAATTCCCTCATGAAATTCCAAACTGCCACAAAAAAAGAAGCTGAAAAAAAGACAAGAAACCTCTTTATTTTTCTAAAGATGTCCTGGCTAATTTTTATCCTCAGGGCAAGTTGAGACCTGTGGCTACGTGTGAACTGTTTGTCAGCTGAGAAGCATCTCCCTCCTCCTCTGAGCTGAAGTTTCCAAGCCCTGGAGCATCTTCTAGTGCAGCTATTTCTGTGCTTCTCCTCTGCACAGGAGGAACAGTCCTGGTGCTGCAGCCAGGAGGTGGCACTCCAGGATAGACATTCCCTGGACATGGACAGGCCCATCCTGGGTTCCTCCCTCTCTACTTCATCCTTGGAAGATTATAGCTGGATTATTGGATGTGAGAACATGGGTATGGGAAGGGCAAAGGGCAGCAGGGATGTGTCAGAGAATCCTCGAAGCATTTAGGTTGAAAGAGACCTTTCAGATCATCGAGTCCAACCCCAGCACTGCCAGGTCCCCACTGCCCCGTGTCCCTCACCCCACATCTCCAAGGCTTGGAAACCCCTCCAGGGGTGGGGACTCCACCACTGCCCTGGGCAGCCTGGCACAGCCCTGGGCAACCCTCCAGGGCAAGAAATTGTTCCTCAGGGACAACTGAAACCTCCCCTGGGGCAACTTGAGGCCCTTTCCTCTTGTCCTGGCCCTTGTCCCTTGGGAGCAGAGCCCGACCCCCCCCTGGCTCCAGGCTCCTGTCAGGAGCTGTGCAGAGCCAGAAGGT